ACTATCAGGACATTTCGTACCAGCGGCCTCAAAGACCATGTATTGACTCTTCCTGACATTATACAATAATCCGTGGCCACATGTATATTCCTCGCATATCCGTATCAGCTTCCTCAGGCCGCAGACCGACGCACTCAGCAGCACCATGTCTCTGCATAACTCAGATTATTGACACAAACACCGTCAATGTGGCAGCCGACATGCTGACTGCTAAGCGCTACGATCAGCCCGTTGATATAAAGATTAAATAGGGTTGGTGATGTTAAGCCACCCTGCCTGACTCCACACTCAAGCCGATACGGATCCGACATTACCCCCGCCCACCTGACACTATTGGCCTGGTTTGCGTACCAGTACTGGAGCATGCTGATAAGTTCTTGTGGCAAGCCTATGCTTTGCAGCTTGCCCCACAGCAGGTTATATGCCACCAGGTCAAATGCCTTGGATAGGTCGAGGAAGCACGCGTACACGGGCGTTCTGCGATCAGTGTAGTATTTGACGGTTTGCTTTAGACACAATATGGCGCTTTCAGTGGATAACCGAGGACGAAATCCGAACTGGTTATCATGGAGCATTACATGTTTATTCAACTGTGTATTAAGCAAACCGTCAAACACCTTTGCAATTACGGTGGCAAGAGAAATAGGCCGATAGTTACACTTGTCAGTCAAGTCACCCGTTTTGTTCTTCACTATAGGTACCACCACGGTTTTCATAAAATCCGCGGGCAGGTAGGAATGGCTCACACATAGAGAGTAGAACATAGCCAAGACCCTAGCTAGGTGAGGTCCAGCATGTTGCAAGTGCTCAACACTAAGTCCATCATGTCCCGGGGACTTGCCTCCTGACATATCTCCTATAACTTTTACTACGCTTTTAGCCAGGAAACTAGTCCCCACTGTTTGTGTGTCCAGGTCAGTGCTGAACACTTCCACTACCGGATCCAACAGAGACTTTACAGAAAAATGGCTCTTGAAAAGATTTGCAATATCCTTGGGATTGTTCATGCCATCGACGCACACAGGAAGGCCAGGCCGTATATTTATTTTACTGGTGGACTTCCAGAAGCCGCGAAAATCTCCTTTGCTATGTTTCACAGCAAGAGCGTCCATCTTTATTTGGTCTTGATGATTTTGGCACCATTTTAATCGGGACTTGAACACTCTTCTGCTATCACACATTTCTTTGTAAAGAAAACCTGACCTGGGTCTACCACACAATACCCAGTCATTGAATTTAGATCTGGCCTCTCTGTGAGCCTCACTGACGTGTTTGTTCCACCCAGCTATGCGCGGGCCACCCCCGTCCCTCCTCGCGTCTTCCCGACTCGTCAAAGTCGCCGCGCCTTGGAGAGCGGTCACAATGTCAGAGTAAAGCTTATCCAGAACATACCTGTGGCCACGGTCATTACAAAATCGGACAGCACAGTTTGCACACTCCGAAGGAAAGTCTACCAATTTTAGCCTATTATGACACTCTTTAGCATACACTGTGATTTGTTCCGCACTCTTTACACCCCATACTACGTCTTTGTTAAAATTGATTATGCTCGCAGAGATCTTAGGGTTTATTAAATTTAAATTACACTTAATTATAAGTGGGAAATGGTCTGACCAAAGAGTGTCATACTTGACATCTACCCCGACGACAGCCTGCTTCGCCGCGAGAGTTGTGACACAATGATCCAGCCAACTGCTGGTCCCGTGGACGTCACTAATAAAAGTAAAAGTACCAGATTCCAGCCCTAGCATATCTACATCTATACATGACCATAATTGGTCATTACAAATACTAACAAGTTCACTGTAAAACAACTCACCCGGGTCCGCATTGAAGTCGCCTAAGATAAACACAGATTCAATTCCATATTCGTCAATAATAGCGCTTACCGCACTCAAACAGTCTGTAAATTCCTGTAAATTGTCGACAGAGTTTGTCGGCAAGTATACACTCATCACAATTACGGGTCTATCATTTGTTATAATTTTAACTGCACAAATACGTGAATTTTCACAATTTAACACTGTCACCTGCTGGAACGCGCTATATCGCCATAACAACGCGACGCCGACATAGGGGCGCCCACGCAGGATGCCAGCAGACGTATCGACTGCTGATGTCGCCACATAACCAAAACCGCTATCGATCGTGCCAATAAAGGGTATATCATGATTCATAATCCAAGTTTCCTGAAGACATATCACGTCACACGTATGACATAAGTCTCTGACGTCATTGATGGAGCGTTTCACATTCTTACAGTTAAATGTAGCAAATCGATAGGGGCGACTATCCATTATTTGGTTTGACTATGCCGTCAGCGCCAATAGGGCGCGCACCGTTCTTATTCCTGTGTTTGAAACTCACAAAACGTCGAAATATGACACCTTCAGGCCATAGAGTTTCATCCATATATTTTGGCAGATTGACCTCTGATATTGAAAATTTGTAAGCTTTGTGCCCTCTATCATATTTCATATTTATTCTTTCTAGTGACACGGTTTCCTGAGTTTTATTATAAATATGTTTTATTATGTCGCTTTCCGTTGCAGAGTTGTGCACATTCGTAATAAACATAATAAGTTTCTTATCTGCTGCCCGGAATGAGCACTGTAAATCTCTGGCTACACCAGCTTTGCCGACATAACGATACTTTCTTGGTTTTTTGTGATACGTAACTGTCTGCCATCCTTCCTTTTTATTATTTTCGTTTGTCAGAGTTTCACGCACGATGATCGGCTGCTCTGATTGACTATGTCCTTTTACGCACACAAAACCTGCCTTATCAGTAGCTGTCAGCTGGTTCACAACCTCAGTAGCAGAGCTCGGTAAGTCTGACGTCACCGTAACACTCGCGCTTGCCTTCCGACACAGCTGCGGCAGCGACGGCGAGCACTCAGGCCCCGCATTACAGCTGACGCCCATTTGTTTATCCTGCGTTACCCTCACATCTCTAAGCTCTGACATGGGAGATATTAAACCCGTAGTATCATTTATGTTGTTTACTGTATAATCGTGTGAAAGACCCATAGGGCCACTGTCTAGAAAAGCACCTGTTTTACTATTGATTTTAAACGCCGACGCCGGTGGCGGCAGTGGGTCGTTTTGTAAGCGAAGAATTGACGACTTAAGTTTGTCAACGCTATCTTGGGTAGCATACGTAGACTTTATTTCTTCAATTTCGGCTTTCAAAGTTAACATGTCCTTTAATAATTTGGAACAGTCTAAGTGATCTATCAAAATCGGCGGCAGTTTGTCAAGCTGTCTAGCCACAAAAATTGGAATAATATCGGGTTCCGTAGATTTAAATAGATTTATAATGTCCACTACATCGCGCTCCTCTTTACCTTTGTTTTTTCGCAGTATTTTTCTGATACCCGTTGGGATGGACTCAAATAAAAGTTTCTTAGAGTTTCTGATTTCATCACTTGTAAATGTCGATGTACAAATACGCACTAATGATTCTTCGTCTATGATAGACACTTTCTTTTGTATGTATGATAATAGTTCATCGATCACAATGTTACACACGTTGCACTTAAGAACGTTCGTCATTATACTTCGCGAGCCAACGCTATGAATAACAAAACACGCCCGACGCTAGTGGTTGCGCGCGCGCGACTTCAAAGCTGAAGACTGAGTGTGGCAACGATGTTGCCACACTCAGTCTTCAGCTTTCACAGTTGGCTCTTTCTGGCAGACAGATCTCTGGCAAAGACTTTGGAGCCCTGGTTCCGCTAGATCGCTTCTTTAATACGAGCAGTAATAAAGTTGCGTAAGTCTCGCCGCATGCATTTGGAGATCTGTCTGTTCAGTTGCCTGTATGCTGTCAAATCTGTTGACGATTGCAGCCTCATCTCCCGTCTAACAGCCATGAGATTTAAAGTGTGATCGAAGAGCTTTTGTGTTCTTCTGCGGCGGGTCTTGCAGAATTTAGGTCCGACCGCATGGACAGTTTCCACGAGCTTGTCATTCATATCGTCCACTGCATTGCAATCTTCTAGGCACTCAAAGCGGTTACGTAACTCGAGCTGAAAGGTTTCGGCATTCTGGATTAGAGCACGAGGGGGACGGAGCGTTGACTTCATTAGACGAGACCTCTCCAACTTAACGTTTAGGTTCAGTGTGCCTCTAACCATTCGGTGATCGCTGCCGGTTTTCACCCTTGCGATCACTGAGACATCACTGAACAGTTGGCGTCTGGTCGTCATAATGAAGTCAATCTCATTTCTTGTCGAACTGTCGGGGCTCGACCAGGTCCACATCCTGTGGGGCTGCTTCTGGAAGAAAGAGTTCATCATAAAGAGTCCCTCTTTCTCCATAAAGTCGGCCAACTGCTGCTGCTGCTGGCGACTACTGGTCATTACGAAAGTTGACGTTACATATATGCTACGAGGTCATGACCTGTGTAGAACAGAGGAGCGCGCGGAAAATTTGAAATAGTTTGAAACAGTTTACGAGTTATTTTATTAGTTCATATTATTGATTGAACAGTTTGAAGGGGCAAGCCTGGCTTTTTGGCTTCTATGGAGGCTTCGCCAATGCTGAGGGAGTGTTAAAATGAAAGTGATGCAATGACTTCATAATATTACGCAAATTATGAGATAGCTATACCGAGAGATGTGTAAACTAGCGATTCGCCCCGGCTTTGCTTGGATAGGATCTATTAATGTTTAAATTGAATTGAATCATGTTTTCGTCTAACATAGTACTTAACATTAATCCTCAACTTTACCATATATTTATTTCAAAATTAATGCTGCAATATTTTCAGTATAACGGAGGATCTTGCTAAGCCATTTGAGGTTATATTTCCCCTTAAAGTAGGGACTAACACAGCATTGTGAATTGCATACATGCCTTTTTGGACACATTCTGACTTTTCACAATAGAGAATACACACTTAGATAGTAATCAAATATATATATGTCGAATATAATATCAGAACAGTATATATAATTTTATTTTTATTATTGTAAAGTTTTTTTTTTCAATTTCAGGTAGCCCATGATGACGAATTTCTAGAGCATACGTTACAAAATGCCCTTCAAGTGGATGAGTTTACAGCAAACCTGTATGATATATGGATAAAAGTTCGTCAAGAAGGAGTTGCACAGGTAACCGATGTAAATCATACTGCTATATTGTCAATAATACGTTATTATTGTTATTATTATATGGTAGGTGATGCAAAATTGCCCTTTAACATTACCACGATATGTTCGAAAGAAAATTATATAAGTGGCATATTAATTAAGATATTTCTATTATTTTAAAAATATTTTGGCTTAATAAAACAATTAAAATATTAACTGACCTACCCAGTGTGTAGTAAGTATGAAATGGACCTATAGACAGTTGAAGAACATAGATGTCATGTGCTACAAATACAAATAAGGTACAATTTATGCTTAAAATAGGGATTAAGGAATCGCAGTTATGCATGCAATTGTTGAATTACAAAATACTTTAGATTCTTAGTTATGTTTGGTGTGTCTGGTGTAGCCTATAACTCTTGGCATGCTGCGATCCGACATTATGCTGGAGTCCAGGTGTCCGCACACAGTGAACCAGTGTGCGAAACACACGCCCTATTGCTCTTGGAAACAAGTGGAAATCAACAGTATAGCTTCCGGATTCGGCCATCTTGGACCGATTTCGAGGGACATACAGAGGTAGCCGATTGGTACATATGTATATAAACGTCACCCTACTGTCCTGTTACGCTATAAACAATTTGTCATGATTTGTAGAGTAGTGTTGTCTCATTCTAACTTTCTAGATTTAGAACCGTATGTAAAGTGAAAAAAACCGAATTATTGTTTTCGAAAAATTTGCATTATGTTTTCAATAAAAGCAAGTTTACAGTTAAAACGTTGGTCATTTTGTAAAAGAAAGGCAAAATGCTGTTGTATTGCCGAAAAATACATACTTATATAGAAAGGCGTGTCCGTCATCTACGTATCCTTCACACACAAGGTTACGACTTATTTATGTGTAATTATCAAACCTTATTCAAAAAACGATACTTAAACTTATTCCGTCATATTACAAAAAGTAGTTTAACTTAAAAATTACAATAATAACGGTCATTTTGTTTCGTATTTGTTTACTAACACAGGCTGCTCGCTGCTCACACACAATATGCAGATCGGTCGAGCGACTGATCCGTGTGATCCGCAATGATTTCAAAAGGAAGGATAGGCCCATCTAAATATTTTACTCAAAACTTTTTCATACAACAAAAAGTAGCGCATCTGTCATAATACACACGTCATATCATAACACGACGTAACCAGGGTCGGATTTCGTAGTATAATTATTATCCTAATTGTACCATTATTTCATAGTTTGTAATATGTAGTATCGTAATAATACCAAGCGAAAATACCATAATTGTACCTAAAGGTCGACTTGTATTATTATTGAGTCCTTTTACTTTGTAATATTAACCCTACGATATCGAGAATTTCTGTATTGTACATGAGTACCGCGTTTTTTTTTTTTTAATAAAATTAGAATTAGCTCCCTTTCTGGTCAATCGGTGCTTGATCGATGCATAATTTATGTTGCATTCTTGATACAATTATAATGAGGGGTTACCAAGATAAAAACTCTAAGCTCTAAGCAATTGGTTTGAAAACAGAATTTCAAAATATTTTATGGATCAGATTTTCAGATTCAATTAAGCAGAAATGGTTTCTTTTGTACTCTTTTCATTTTACCCTCATTGAATATAAAATATATTAGGTACCAATATTCAAAATTTTACTTACACTAAGTTCCTTGGAGAAAAATTAAACAGAAATAAAAATAAAACCGGCAAAAAAACGAAACGTATATATAAACTAGACGCGTGACGCCAAAATCCCGGCAAATGGGAAAAAGAAACATGAAACGTCAAACGTCAAACGTGATATAATTTTTGTGAAATATTATTCCTAATTTTATTTTCCATGTACAATATTTTTAAGGGTTTGAATTCAACCCTGGCCTAATCTTGATAACGTAATTAAACTTACTGTAAAATAAAACTAAAAATGCGTTTATATAATAATTTAATATTAACAAAATGAATATAAGGTTATTTTACCGATGATACGATATCCCATGTTCCTATTTAATCTTTGTATCGTAATTTTTGCACCCTTTTACCACGCAACTAGACATATTTATGACAGGCAAATCTGTCCTGCGCGCGCACCACTGTCGACTGAGCCGCGTTGGCCCTAAACTGTAATTTTAGGGCCAGCGCACTGGTCCGTTTTGGTTGTTCGATCGGCCCGGTCCTTACGCTAGTAATATAAAAGTCAATGTATCTATGTGTGTCTGAAATTGTTAGTTTATTGTATTAATTGTTATGTGTCCTAGTGACAGACGATTGTTTTAGTGTGCGCAGATTTCCCCCTTTTAATATTCTTTATTGCATACCATACAAAAATTACAGATTATATATACAAAAGAAGTATGCAATGGGCAAGGGTATGCAAAAATGACAGACAGTTCTGTATCGGGTCTTAGGTTTAAACTAAATTTTATTTCACGAGCGAAGTCCCGTAAAAATATACGAACTATAATGTAATATACAGGGTCATTTTGCAATAACCGGTCAAATTTGCAGAGAAATTGATTAAAACTACTTTTACGGATTTTTATCGCGTTTTATTTATATTAATTTTAATACCCGACGTTTCGGGTGCTTTCCAGCACCCATGGTCACGGGGGACTGAGGTGACTGACGTCCCGATGTCAAAGTTAACCCAGAGTACCTTCAACTTTTTAATTATTGTCTTTGGTCCGATCTACGCAGAATGAACTAACTGTATTTTCAAAGACAATAATTAAAAAAGCTGAAGGTACTCCGGGTTAACTTTGACATCGGGACGTCAGTCACCTCAGTCCCCCGTGACTATGGGTGCTGGAAAGCACCCGAAACGTCGGGTATTAAAATTAACATAAATAAAACGCGATAAAATCCGTAAAAGTAGTTTTAATCAATGTATAGTGTTCGCGTAAATATAAGAAATCATTTTGCAGAGAAAGTTCAGAACTAGTAATATAGACATGCAAAAAAAATTAAGTTGGTGAAAAAAAATTAATTAAAAAATCTCAAACATTCTGTTCTTTTTATCTTTTAAATTCGAACTGCGTAATATTGGATTATTTTAACTGATTTTACTGCGCTCGCGCACATTTGTCAATCGGTAGGCAAAAACGTTGTTGCCCATAAATCACATTCAATTTGGGATAATTTCAAATAAAAGTAGAAGCGTTATTTACTCGTATTTTCAAAAACTGCAATAAATGTATATCATTATTTATATATATATTCGAACTTATGTTTAAAGTTTACCTACTCTTCAAAGAAACCCTGTATAAACCCTGTTTTACAGCAAATGTCAAATTTTACGATATTTTTTAACATAATTATCAAGAAATACTTTTTAACTAGTTTAAACCCGAGACTTTATAAACCGTATTTGTAATAAAATGGAATGAAATGAGAGTAATGAATTATTGTTAAATTTAATAAAAGGTAATAAAATATGTCACTACATATTTTATTACTGTAACATTGTAATGCTATGTTTATTAACTAATGTCTTACAAGTCTGACCAACTTTCTAACAAATAAAAATGCTGCATTGAAACAAAGATAGGTGCAAATTTTTCGAAAGATCTGTCTTTGGGCTGTTTTGTTGCATCTGTTTGTTTTTTTTAATTGTAGACTTTTTTAGTAATAACATATACTTACATATTTAAAATATTTATTTTAAACAAATATAAAATATTAGGAGAAAACGGATTAAAACAATCATTACATCTCAAAATATATTAATTTAGTTTATTACTATAAAAATATTGTTCTCTTAACAATGTTCTAATAGAAGAAGAAGAAGAAAAAATATTTATACAGATACTGACTTAGATACTGTTATGTTACATATATTATAGGTCTCATATTTTTATTTATAATTTCAAACAGTATCACTGGGCTCCATACTAGGATTCCCTGTGTCGTGGAGACCAGTCGTCCCATTTATCTAGAACTTAATGATTAGCCAATGTTATGTGCGAATAGATTTCTCACATACGTAATTTCCAACACAGAAAAAATAAAAAAGTAGCATATCTGATATTAAAATTAATGATTTAAAAAGTTTAAATATAATCTGTCTGCATTTGAAAAAAATTCTAGTCTATTCATAATATCATATGCATATAATATACGTTAAAATAAAGAAAAAGATATTTTAGTCTATATGATGGTTATGACTGATGATTAACAGTTCGGTTAATATTAACATCGTTTGTAACTAAATGTTCTTATTTGATTTTAAAGCCTCATTTACATTCAGTCCCTGTCACTGCTCCTCGCGCTGCCGGCAATACTTCGCTAAATACTGCCGTAGCAGGATCGCGGGAAGTGTGTATTCACACTCTGCCCTACCACTCACATCGCTTTCGGCTTTCGACTATGGCAGACGTCGAAATCGAAATAATTACAGCGTCCGCGCTGTGTCTTCTTGCAATACAAAATTATGTTAATAATTTAAAAAGACATCAAGTTCAAAAGAAGATAGATAGATTTTATTTGATAGATAGAATTTATTTGCTTAAAAACATGGTACATAAGATCATCAATGACGTGGAACTGACATGTTTTGCCATAATTAGCATGCAAAAATGATATGAAATACAGCTAATTACACAAACCCAATGTTACATTTTAAAATTATTGCATTGCTTAAAAGTTTAGTTAGTTACAAACATTCTTTTTTGAATTCAAATATTATGTAAAATTAAATACATATACAGATCCACTCTATTTGAATTCATATACAGTAAATTGTTCATAAATTATTAATTGAATTATTACATTATTGTTACATAAATAATATTAAATATTATATGAGATTAGTTAAGCTATTATTATTTTTATAATTACACTATAATTTGAAAATCTCAGGTTATTATGCAAATATTACCATTTAAAAGAAAATTCGTATTCGTAGAAGATGATGAATTGTGGTCTTTATCGTTGAAATCCTATAGTTTTTTCTGATTCCAGCAGTTCTAAAAACTTTATTGTATTTTCATTATTCCACTCGAAAAG